TTTCCTCTCTGTTTGTGATATTGTCTTTAGAATCTGCTTTCACAGCTTCCAGGAGAAAAGTTTGTTGTTTTAATGAGTCAAAGCAAGAGGGATGTGCCATCTCTGGATCACAAGTTCAATCTGCTTAGCCAACAAGCATTGTTGTGCTTCCCTAGCAGCAGGCCAAGCTGTGCTGGCACGTGCAGGCCGCAGGCAGGTCCTGTGCACCTGTTTCATGGGCCAGGCCATGACCTGACTGTGGCTCCCTGCAGGTTCAAGGGCATTTTTTAAATTGTAAATTGTTATATACGACAGCAGAATGCATTACGATTCATATTACACATATGGAGCACAATTTTTCATATCTCTGGTTGTATATAAAGTATATTCACACCATTCGTGTCTCCATACATGTACTTAGGGTAATGACGTCCGTCTCATTCCACCATCTTTTTTACCCTCTTGCCCCCTCCCTTCCCCTCCCTCCCCTTTGCCCTATCTAGCGTTCCTTTAATCTTCCCATGCTCCCCCTCCCAACCCCAGCCTCCTATGAATCAGCCTCCTTATATCAGAGAAAACATTTGGCATTTGGTTTTCTGGGATTGGCTAACTTCACTAAGCATTATATTCTCCAACTCCATTCATTTACCTGTAAATGCCATGATTTTATTTTCTTTTATTGCTGAGTAATATTCCGTTGTGTATATATGCCACATTTTCTTTATCCATTCATCTACTGACAGCCATCTAGTTTGTTTATATAGTTTCTTGAGGGCCTTGAGGGCCTCAGGCCAAGGGACTGGGGACACCTATTTTTACTCAGCTTTTTTTTTTTTTAATTATTATGTTTAAAATTTGTTCTATTTAGACACATGTGACAGTAGAGTGTTACTCATCTTTTTCTGATGTGCAGACAGGCACATTAGAAGCAGAAGTCAGGACATTTGGTCAGCACACTCATCAATCTTATTTATTTATTTATTTTTGCGGGGCAGGGGCGGGGATCAGGGGATAGAACTCAGGGACACTCGACCACTGAGCCACATCCCCAGCCCTATTTTGTATTTTATTTAGAGACAGGGTCTCACTGAGTTGCTTAGTGCCTCACTTTTGCTGAGGCTGGCTTTGAACTCTCGATCCTCCTGCCTCAGCCTCCTAAGCCACTGACATTATAGGTGTGTGCCACTGCACCCGGCCTGTTTTGTTTTGTTTTTAAGGACAGTCACACTGTTTAACAATGGTCACCACCAGTCGTCTACAGAATTTTACCATCTTCCCAAACTGAACCCCATCCAACACTAACTCCCCAGTGCCTGGCACCGGCCATGATGTTCTCAGTCTCTGGATCTGAGGGTCCCAGGGCCCCTCTGAGTGGAGTCCCACAGCGTGCAGTGTGTATCCTTGCGTATTTGGCTTTTTGGTTTTTTTCCTTTTTTTTTTTTCCAATGCTAGGGACAGAACCCAGGGCCTTGTACATGCTAGGCACGTACGCTGCCACTGCGCCACACCCAGCCCAGGGTGTCTTCCATGTTCCCCGAGCATGTTGTCCTTGGATTCATCTGACCTCTACCAGGGCTATTCTCCTTTTTTTTTTTGGTACTGGGAATTGAACCCAGGGGCGCTTAACCACTGAGCTACATCCCCCGCCCCCTCTCTTTTTTAATAACTATGAAAACCTGAAGATTGTGGTTTAAAACATAAAATGTCTCGTCACCATTTCTCAGTGTGCACTTATGTAGTGTTAAAGGCATTCACCGTGTTGGGACAGGTTTCGTTCCTTCCTACAGTGCCTGTGAATTTTGCACTCACTGTTGGATGTAGCCCCTGAGCCCTTCACTAAGTGAAGGGCCGTCATTGGTTGCCATGATCCATGGAATGGTGTTCCAGTGGAAATGTCACTATGCCTGTCATTAAGAGAAAGAGAAAGGTACCTGTAAAGGATAAGAGGAGTGTGACATGAATACGAGATGGCCAGTCTGTGGCCTGGGAATGGCCCTGTGCCCCAGGGGGCAGAGACTCTAGCACCATCCAGACCTTGAGGCCCTCAGGTGGAGGGAGGTGGGCAGCCAGTTCCCTCATGGGATTCCAGTGTGTCTTGTGGCCCTGGCTGAGCCCCTTGCTAAGGCAGCGTCTGTGGTTCCTGTCACCCCCTGGGTCCTGCACACGGAGGTGCAGATGCCGAGCCCCTGCCTTGCCTTCACTTGGTCACCCTGCCTTGCCTTCACTTGGCCCACAGGAGGAATAAGGTCCTGAACCACTTCAGCATCATGCAGCAGCGGCGGCTGAAGGACCAGGACCAGGACGAGGACGAGGAGGGGAAGGAGAAGCGGGGCCGCAGGAAGGCCAGCGAGCTGCGCATCCACGACCTGGAGGATGACCTGGAGATGTCCTCTGATGACAGCGACGCCAGCGGCGAGGAGGGTAAGTGTCGCTCGTGCTGACTGTAGATGGAGAGGGGGCTGATGGGCTGATGTCACCAAGAGAGGCTTGTCGTCCTGGAAATGACTGGAAGGCAGGAGCTGGAGAGCCGAGGCACGGCCTCCATTGGGGCTGAATGACTGGCGTCTCTCACCTGGCTCTGGGTGATTTGGGGCAGTGGTGTGTGAGCCTGGGGCTGCGGGCGGCTCTGGACTGGGCTGCTTGCTGTAAGCGCTGCTCGCAGATCTGCCCTCGCCTTCTGGAAGAACTGGCCAGGCCTGGGGGGCCAGTCATCCACTCCCAGGACGTCAGAACATGGTAGAACCTGAAGGACGCAGTGGTCCATGGCCTGAGTCCCCTCTGCCCTCCCCCAGGCAGCAGAGCCCCCAAGGCCAAGAAGAAGAAGCCACTGACCAAGGCGGGCAGGAAGAAGAAGAAGAAGAAGGGCTCGGATGATGAGGCCTTTGAGGACAGTGATGACGGTGACTTTGAGGGCCAGGAGGTAGACTACATGTCCGATGGCTCCAGGTGAGGCAGGCGGGAGGCGGGGGTGAGACCCTGGCTGGCCTCCAGAGGCGCCTGCTCACCCTCTGCCCGCCTCTTACAGCAGCTCCCAGGACGAGGCAGAGGGCAAACCGAAGGTGCCGCAGCAGGAGGACGGGCCCAAAGGTAGGCGGGGGCCAGGTGCTGGGGGCAGTCAGCAGGCAGGGTCCCTCCTGCTCTGCTCACCCCGTCCCCTCGCCAGGTGTCGATGAGCACAGTGAGAGCAGCGAGGAGAGCGAGGAGGAGAAGCCTCCTGAGGAGGACAAGGAGGAGGAGGAGGAGAAGAAGGCCCCCACCCCGCAGGAGAAGAGGCGCAGGAAAGGTGGGCTCCCCTTGTCGGCCTCGCGCAGGCCCTGGTGCCCTGCCCCCCACCCCTCCCCCTGAGCCTCCTGCCCTGGTGGAAGTGAGGATGGGCGGGGGTCTTGCTGTGGTCCTGACTCTGCAAAGCTGGCTCCTGCAGACAGCAGTGATGAGTCAGACAGCTCGGAGGAGAGTGACATTGACAGTGAGGCCTCCTCAGCCCTGTTCATGGCGGTAAGTAGCAGTCTGGGGCCTGGGCCAGGCAGGTGTCTGTTTGCAGGCTCACACCCCCCACCCTAACCTCTGCAGAAAAAGAAGACACCCCCCAAGAGGGAGCGGAAGCCGTCGGGAGGCAGTTCACGGGGCAGCAGCCGCCCTGGCACACCCAGTGCAGAGGGGACCAGCACCTCCTCCACCCTGCGGGCAGCTGCCAACAAACTGGAGCAAGGTGAGCTATCGGCCCGATCTGTGTGCTCCTGAGTCCCTGGGCTAGGGTCCACCCTCCACCCCAAGACTCATCCTGACCCTGCTCCCACAGGGAAGAGAGTCAGCGAGGCACCAGCCGCCAAGCGGTTACGGCTGGACGCCGCGCCCCAGAGCCTGTCCGGAAAGTCGACCCCGCAGCCGCCCTCTGGAAAGTCCACGCCCTGCAGCGGGTAAGTTGGTTAGGACGCAGGGGCTGGGCAGGGGCCACTGCAGGATCTCGCTGACCCTGACCCTCCGTTCCTCAGTGATGTGCAGGTGACCGAGGACGCCGTGCGCCGCTACCTGACGCGGAAGCCCATGACCACTAAAGACCTACTGAAAAAGTTTCAGACCAAGAAGACGGGGCTGAGCAGTGAGCAGACGGTGAACGTGCTGGCCCAGATCCTGAAGCGGCTCAACCCCGAGCGCAAGATGGTCAATGACAAGATGCACTTCTCCCTCAAGGACTGAGATCTACCCCTGCCCAATAAAACTGTCTGTTCCAGACCTGCCCACGTCTGCTGCCTGGTTGTCCTCGAGTCCTGCGCCCCTGTATTAGCGACCACAGAAGTGCCTGGGCAGTATCCTTCCCCAGTCACTCTCTGGTGCTGCCTCCTGTTGCCTTATAGGCACCTGGAAGACAGGGCTCTCCTGGCAGCTCAGCACGTGCACTGGGACAGCCCAGTCATAGCGGCTGTGGCTTCGACTGCCTTCAGGGCCTCTGCCTTCAGCCAGGCTCCTGGCCCAAGACCTAGCAAGCGCTCAGTTCCAGTGACTCCACTGTCAGTTGCCCACACTAGTATTTTTGTTGTTCACATCAACTGCTGTGTTTGGGTAGTGTCTTGTCCCTGATGTTTTTGATCCCCTCTTGAATTCTTAGGTTTTTATTTTAAGCATCCCTACCTTACAGCTTGTTTGACGAGTCTAGAATCTGCATTTGTGAGCGTCTGCAGTGTCCTCTGCCTTCCCTTGTGGATAGGATATTTCTCAGGTTGTGACTTGGGGTGGGGTCCTCGCAGGAGTCCTGGCAGGCCTACTTTTTAGGCAGGTCATTCAAGATGGTTTTACCTTTGCTTTCAAAGTTATTAGGAGTGCGCCCCTGCCTGTTTTGTGTGTGGTTCTCAGCTCAGAGTTCTGTTTGTTTTTTGGTACTGTGGACTGAACCCAGGGGTGTGGACTGAACCCAGGGGCGCTTAACACTGAGCCACATCCCCAGGCCTTTTAAACTTTTATTTTGAGACAAGGTCTCTCTAAGTTGCTCAGGGCCTAAATTGCTGAGGCTGGCTTTGAATTCAAGATCTCCTCAGCCTCCCGAGCTTCTGGGATTACAGGTGTGTGCCACCCTGCCCAGCTCCCCTCAGTCTTTGTCTGCATGGCCACCAGAGCCTCGTGTCCTTTTTTCTGGCTTTAGCATCTGGGCCTATTTTCAGTTCCCTAGGGTGTTTCTGGGGTGCCCTCTCGCCTTTCAAGCCAGGTAATGCTTTTGCATGTCCAGCCCCACCAGGTTCCCTGTAGGAAGGTTTCTGGACAGCAGTGTGGCTGAGAGATTTGGCTACAGCCACTACCTTTGAACCTGTATTGCATTGTGAAAGAACCAGCCTGCCGTGTGGGTGACATCCCTGGATGGGTAGAGCTGAGAAACCTCCCAGTGTGAGTGAACAGGAACACCTGTTTGCTCTAGGACAGGCCATTGGAAACGTCCAGTGGTGACCCTTCCAACCCTCCCCGACCGCTTGGCAGGCTCCCTTACTTCCCCGTAGTACGGTTAGTTTTGATCTTTATGATGACTGGCTCCAAGATGTTGTGCTGCTGGCTTATACAATGGTGATGGGTAGACATGCCCTACATAAACTGTAGCTCTGCCGCGATAAAACGAGCTCAGCGCCACCAAGCCTGACTCCTGGAGTCTTCGTGTGTGGACTCCGTTGCTTCACCTCCTCGCGGGACGCAACCCCACCACATCACAACATCTGGTGTCCGACAATGTGGGGCGGCCCCTGCGGGACGACTTCTGTGGCAACAAAGGAAAGGTGAGTGCCCCTGATCAGCTTATACATCTGCGCCTGGTGAGTGCTCGGACCTCTTTGCCCCCTTTTTGCTTTTGGTTTGTGGTTTCAGTTTGTCGCCTCTTTGATAGGATTTATTAGGGAGGCACATAACCCCCTGCTCCCTGGTTTGCTACAAAGTGGGAGCCCCTTGGTTCATCCAGAAGGCACAAGTAAGGGTTTGGTCTCCCAGTGCCTAAACCATGAAGGTCACGGCTTATAGCCACCCTTCACTTCTGAGACACAGTGAGGGACATACGGGTGACAGCTGGCTCCCGGAGTGACAGCCAGGGGAGTCTCCCTCCCAAACAGCACTTTTTGACCCAATACACCTTTTCCATGTCCCCTGATTCCTTCCACCTTCTCCCTTAACATCAGTGGGCCCCGATCCGGGGACTTCTCCTTCTGAATGCCATAGTAACCGTTGTTCTTTGGCTCTTTGGGCTCAGGATCCTTTCCCAGAGCCGCCATCTCAAGACCAAAGACCCTGATATCTTTGACTTCAGGGACAATGTGGTTTGCTTGGCACCCTGTATGTCCTCTGATACACTTTGGGACAAAGAGCTCTGGCATCACTTCCTTGTGTTGGCTCGGAATAGGGAAATTCAAGAAGGCCAAGCCTTCCCCCTTCCTTTCTTCCCAGTCCTTACCGCCATCATAGCATGTTTAGGAGGGACCACTGAAGATGATGTTGTCAGCCAGCACAATGTCCTTGTAGCTGAAAGGCCTGATCTTAGATTTGAAGGTTCCTCTGCCACTGCCAGCCCCCCTCCACAGGAAGCAAATGCACCCTTAGGGGCCTCCGCCAACACTTCCTCTGAGGCACCAACACCTGCCTGCCTGAGCAGGGGGGCCCCTCCCTGTACCCAGCCCATAACTGCAGGGGTCCATGGCTCCCTCTCCCTTTATCCTTGGCCTCTACTGCCATCCAGTGGCCAGTCTCCTCCAGCTCCGCAGGCCCCACACCACCCTATTCTAATAACTCCTTTTTGAATCAATACTCAGACTTGCTTAAGATGAGGTCCCATGCCACCCAGGCTTTCCCTGTTGGTGTAGGGCCCAATGTAGCAAATCAAATCAGCCTTGGATTGCTCCAACCCAAAAGGATCTAGCTGTCATACATAGGCCACCCTAGAAGATGGTCTGGACTCTCCCTATATGGAGCAGCTTATGGACCAATGGGCAGATAATCCCCAAACTCCCCATGATTGGATCATGCTCATGTGGGCCATCCTTACAAGACCCCAGTTTCTACAGTAGAAAGCTTCCTCTAGTGATGAATGTGACCAACGGGCCATCCGCAATGCTCTGCTCAAGTTGCCATTACCGTGCATATGTGTAAGGGTGAAGGAAACCATAGTACCCCCAGGCTGTGGTGGGGGTGGCCCAATACTTTGATCAGGTCCGTCTGTGTGCACAGCGCGCCTTTAAGGGTGTCCCCTCTACTCAGGCAGAAGTCCATCTCAGGTCCTTAATTCAAAAACCCAATGAGTGTTTCCAGAATTTCTCTCCAGAGTCGCCCAGGCTGAACTCTGCATGGGTGTACCTTGGGCAATCAAGACAGATAACGGCCCATCCTATACATCCCCCAAATTTACAAAGTTCCTACATAATTGGAACATCACTCATATAACTGGTATCCCCTATAACCCCCAGGGACAAGGTATAGTGGAAAGAGCCCACCGAACCATAAAAACTCAACTACAAAAAGAAAAAGGGGGAAATAAGGGGACCCTAACACTCTCCTGACACAATCATTGATAACTTTAAATTTTTTAACTTTTGATGCATCAGGTCTTTCCCCAGCTACTAAGCATTGGGGTTCCCGCTCCCCCTAGTCCACTGGAAGGACCCAATGACCAATTGGTGGAATGGCCCACACCCACAGCTAACCCAAGGGCGAGGTTTTGCTTGTGTCATTCCAGAAATGGCCTCTCGGCTCATCTGGATCCCGACAAAGACCATCCGCCCAGTCCTACAACATGAATCTCCCACCCAGGATGGTGGAACCACCAGCCAGGCACCTGAAGGAGCTCTCTGTTGACGACACCCCACCTCCCAGCTCCGCCTGTGGCTTTCCTGGAACTTTGCCTGCCGACACCTCTGCCACCAGCAATGGAAGGAAGAAATGCCCACGCCATCACGGACGATCTCATGGTAGAAGAGCACAAAAAATAACTTGGGGGGACATAAAGAACTTGGGGGGACATAGAGAGCTTGGCTCAACAAGCCCAGGATATGGCCCCAGACCCGGAGCCAGGGGCGGACACTCTTTTTCTGTTACCGTGCACCATCACCACCGCTACTCACGAGCACAGGCATGATAGGCGGGGGCACCAACTCCTGGAGTTTTGTTACCTGTTGGCCTAGACGATACAGTCTTGCCCTTCTTGTTTGCTACTAATGTTACCTCTCATTCCTGTAATGTTGGATCCCATGGTACAGTATTCTTGGAACCCATCACTTAAAGTCAATCATACATGGACCTTTTTGCTTCTTGCTAACACTTCCAATGTGGGGGAAATATGCCAGTCTGTACCATGCTTCCATAATGACACCTTCTGGGAACCAGGGCTCTCCAGGGCATCATGGGATATGGGCCTCTCTCCCTAGAAAGGGAAAGCATGGAGGTTCGAGTTAGGGAGTCCCGCTCATGGCCCCGACCATTCTTACAGCCCTGCCTATCACGCAAATATACAAATAGCTCTACGCCTCTCGAGGCCATAACATGGAGAAATTGCCTTTCCATCATCGGACCATTCGTCCTCTTGGATGAGCTCATTAGTTGGTCTCAGCCCTACAGCTTGGGAGGCTCCCACCTAAAAAACAGCACCGCTAAGCCAACCAAAATCCAGAAGGGTAAATCTTAGAATACAAATACCCCTGGTCCTGCACAACTGGGTAGACCATTAATATGTGGCCCCTATAAATGTATGGATATTAGCCCTATTGTCACCGTTGATGCAATCTGGTTTAATGGCATCTTTGATTCTCCTGTTGCTACCCGTGCTACTCGGGGACATGTGTGTGTTAAACCACTTTTTTCTTTGTAAGTTCTACAGTCCACCCCACCAGAGGTCACCTCGACTGCACTAATTCCTCTTGTATGTTGACCAATTGCTGGAACCCCTCCATTAAGACAGCAGTGCTCATGAGGACACCCCCCATATTGTGGTTCCCAACAGATGACAGACAGTTCCTCTGTCCATTTCACCAAAGGTACATTTTACCAAAGAGATCTCCCTCTCACGTCCAAAATGGGATTTTGATATTACTGCCGCCATTGTTGCTGCCTCTCTTGCTGCCACGGCTGCTGGGATAGCTTTAGCCCAGTTATAGCTAATGCTGCCACTATCAACCAGGTAGTTCAACGCTCCGCTAGAGCCCTAACTGTGTAAGAACAACTTAACCTACACTTGCAGGGAGGTATCCTAATGCTACAACAACAGGTTAATCTCATGGATGAAAAAATCGATATCCTCCGATTAAATGTAGGATACCCTGTATTCCTCAATATCTGTATGTTTGTCAAACAGCTATCCCTGTAGAAAATGTCACAAAGCCCCGGTTTGAATTAGCTAAACGGTTAAAAGGACCCTGGAATCTAGCTTTTAGAAATTTCACCATGACGCTGCATCCCCATATTCTTAGCTAAATGAAACTAAAGCAAACCTAATCCTCAGTCCTTCCTTCTTGCAGAGACTATGGGACAAGTTTTCAGCTCTGATTGACCCCACCAACTGGGTTATCGCTGGCATAGGTGTCATTTGTATTGTTATACTGTATGTCTTTATAAAGTGCCTACACTTATAAGATGGAAACTGAGCAAGCTATGTTAGTATATGTATACCAAAAAAAAGGGGGGGAAATGTGGGAAAGAACCAGCCCGCAGTGTGGGTGACAGCCGTGGATGGGTAGAGTGAGAAACCTCCCAGTGTGAGTGAACAGGAACACCTGTTTGCTCTAGGACAGGCCATTGGAAACGTCCAGTGGTGACCCTTCCTGCCCTCCCCGACCGCTTGGCAGGCTCCTTTACTTCCCCGTAGTACGGTTGGTTTTGATCTTTATGATGACTGGCTCCAAGATGTTGTGCTGCTGGCTTATACAATGGTGATGGGTAGACATGCCCTACATAAACTGTAGCTCTGCCGCGATAAAACGAGCTCAGCGCCACCAAGCCTGACTCCTGGAGTCTTCGTGTGTGGACTCCGTTGCTTCACCTCCTCGCGGGACGCAACCCCACCACATCACAACATTGAATGACCTGGCTGAAGGCAGAGGTCAGGCCTCGGTCCTACCCTCAGCTGGAAACTGCAGGTGGAAAACTGCCCCACCCAGATCTGCAGGCCCCTGGCTGCCCCGAGGGATGCCTGAGATAGCAGGCTAATTCCCAGGAATCCCCCGTGTGGTCCAACTTTCCTCCCGTCCTTCTGCCAGGGTTTTGGGCCTCAGGAGAGCAGCACGACTCCTTACCCGGGAGGTTCCACCCCTGTCATTCCTGCTGTGTGTATTCTGACCCAGAGTCCACCTCAGGCCAGGAAGCATCTGAGGGAGGCAGTGTCACCTTTGGTCAGGCTAGAAGCCTGGCATTCTGGGGACCTGGGGCTCAAATCCCAGGTGTAGTTCTGGATGACTTAAGTGACTTTTTTTTTTTTTCCTGAAAGTAACATAAATATGTACTGCAACAACAACAACCACGACAATCACGGACGCAGGTCCCTGCGGACCCATGAATTCCAGTAACAAAGGTGCAGCTAGTATCCTGGGCTTACAGCTTAGTTCCCAGGTGGAGGAGCTCCTGAAGGAGGTTTCCTGGGGCGATTTTAGTCACAGTTGCTCATGCAAAGAGCTACCAATTTACACTCTGAATCGTGGGGTGCAGCATCTCCAAGCTTTAACCACTCCTCTGTGTGGGACCAGGCACCTCCTCACACACAGCCAACAAGCTATTAGTAATCTCCTGCCTCAAAAGCTCTGGGCAGAGGGCTGGGACTGTGGCTCAGCGGTAGAGCGCTCGCCTAGCACGGGCTGGACCTGGGTTCCATCCTCAGCACCACATAAAAATAAAGGGATTGCGTGTGTCCATCTACACCTAAAAAATAAGTATTTAAAAAAAAAAAAAAAAAAACAAAGCTCTGGGCAGCTCCTCAGCGCCAGGCACAGCACTAAACACCGAACACTCACACCAGGTCCCATGGGTGTGAGGCCACCAGAACCCATGCCTCGCCATGACTTACTGCTGGCTTCACCTTGGACCTAGAAGTCTAGCTCCCCTTGGCTGATGCTCTCAGGTCCCAGGATAGGGCTGCAGTTGGGCCCTCAGGTTTCCTCCCAAGACAGGAATCCCTGCCCCATGTCCCATGCTTGGCCATCCCCAGCCTCTCCCTTTTCCTGTTTTGATGCTGGCTGAGCCAGGCCCGGAGACAGGGGCATGATATCTTAATCCTTCAGGAGGAAGCCATGCTGGAAGATTCCCCTTGACCTGACCACCTGCCAAGCCGCCTTCCCAGCACTCAACATGGGGGTTCCTGAACTAGACAGCAGGGGCAGCAGGGACACCGGTTGTCCGCACTGGGCTCAGGCCTGGCTTCCAGCACGACTCGTAAATCAGGGGGCGACGGGGGTGTTGGAAATGGGTCTGTGGAATGTCTGGATGGGGTGGGGTGGGGGTGCGCCCTTAACTCTTAGAAGGACGGATGTGGGGGCAGAGGGAACTGATGCCTAGAGCTGAGGACTGGGGGACCAGCTGTGCAGGACGCAGGCGAGGAAGAGGTTATTTCCCTGCCGGGCAGGCAAGGGATAAATTCAAGGCACAGGGCTCCCCAGCTTCAGGACCTGACTGTCACAATGTCCACGGGGAGAGTCCTGCTTGGCTTTCTGCTGCTCCTATCACTACAGCTGGGCATCGGCCGGAGCCCTGACACTCAGGGGGCTCCTGTGGCAGAGAAAGAGTTCTTGTCTGAGCAGACAAGAGATGCTGGAGGGACCTGCAGGCCGCCACTGGGTAAGAACCCCAGGGACCCCAGGTGACTTCCCAGCTCCTTCAGGCTGAGAACTGACCCTAAACCATGCCCCTTTTTTCCCCTAGACACTCACCACCCCCATGCTCGCTTACGCCGAGCCCCAGCCAGCCCCTGCCAACTGTGGAGCCTGACCCTACCCGTGGCGGAGCTGGGCCTGGGCTATGCCTCTGAGGAGAAGATCACCTTTTGCTACTGTGCTGGCAGCTGTCCCCGCGGAGCCCGCACCCAGCACGGTCTGACACTGGCCCGACTGCGGGGCCAGGGCCGAGCCTTTGGTGGGCCCTGCTGCCGGCCTACCCGCTATGCTGATGTGGCCTTCATTGATGACCATCACCGCTGGCAGCGGCTGCCCCAGCTCTCCGCAGCTGCCTGCAGCTGTGGGTGAGAGTGCCCAGCCCAGAACTCCGGTTCCCTGTGCATGGAGCTCTGGAGGAGCTGGGCTCACTTATTTATTGGAGCCTGGAAGCAAGAAGACAAGAAGGGGTGGTGGACTGGGAGCTGGCAAAGAGCACAATAAAGAATCGGCTTCCCTGGCCTGGTGACTGTGTGCTAAGCCAGCATGCTCCTTACTGCCACCTGGCAGCCCTGAGCTTCCCCTGCAGGGGTCAGTCTCAGGAGACAGCAGAGCAAGGAGGCTGCTGTCCCTTCTCCAACTTTATTCACAAATCCAGAGTCTGGGTAAAACAGGAATGGGCCTGGGGGTCAGCAGGCTGGGGGTGGCTGTCCAGGTTGCCCTGGTCCCAGCCCCTCAGGGAGAGAGCGGCAGATCACAGAGATGCGTCGGCTCCGTGGAATCCGCCGATCCCCAAAAAATGACTCTTCATCCCGAAGAATCTCATGAGAGAAGTCATAACGGGCTGAGCCCCTGCAAGAGAAAAGAAGGCTATGAGTTCTAGGTAGACCAGGGTTCCAGTCCCCCTGCAGCCCTCAGGCCCGCCCTGGGGTAATGGCAGTCCCTGCTGTGAAGGCCAATGAGAGAAGGGGCAGGACGCTGGTGGGGTGGGGCTCTTTGGCTGGATGCACCTTAGGATATAGAGGGAACCAGGCTCCAGCAACAGTTCCAGCCACTGCCCTGGCTCCTGGGTGTGCACAAGCCTCATGACACTGGGAGACAGCAGGGACAGGCCAGCGATGGTGGCTCCACAGAACTGAAAGAGGCAGCATGGTGGTGGGTCAGACTCTGGCCTGGCCTGTCCACCCCAAGCTGGGAACTCCCAGGTGCTGGCTTCTGCCCACCTTGACACTGTCGACATGGGGCTTGATGTAGCCCTGAGGTTCCAGGTCTAGCACATGCACCCGGGACAGCAGGGTCTGGCCAGGGTCAAAGGCAGCTGACTGCACACGCTGCAGGATGGCCCGGCTGGCCTCTGACCAGCGCGACTTCTCTGTCTCCCGGAAGCCGTGGATGGCCTGCACAGAGGGCTTGGGTCATGCCTGAGAGCTCCCAGAGAAAATAAGGAAACTGAGGCACAGAGGGACAGAGTCCAGAGCTAAGGACTGGTTTTTCCCAGCATGACCTTTATCCCTGCCTCAACTCACAATCCCATCCCTAACCTGGCCCCTGCCACAATGAAGGCCTTAGCTGGGTTTCGCTGATACTGGAACCCCTAACCCAGGCCCCACCTAGATCTGACCTCAGGCTCCAATTCCAGGTCCCCAATGCTGCCAGCCCCATCCCAATATCCATTGTTTCTGTCTCCATCCTCAACCTGATCCCACCCAAGACCCTAGTCTGCCCCCAACAACTGACCCTCCCTCACCTCCTCCATATCCATGTCTGACCCTTGGTCCCAAATACCCCTTAGCTCCAGATCTAGTTAGGACCCGGCTCTCATTTCCAAAGAGCTCTTGCTGTTCCCAGGTTCCCACCCCCCAGGTCCCACCCCTCTGCAGAAATTCGCACCCCCGCCCACAGCAACGCCCCTTCTCCGTAGGACTCGCCTCTCGGCCCCAGAGCCTCAGACCCCAAACCTGTTCTAGGCCCGCCCCCAGCTGATCCCCCGCATTCGAGTGGCTTCCCTGTCCCCGCCCCTTATCCGCAGCCCCGCCCAGATATGGCCCCGCCCCCGACGCGGACGCGGACCCGGGCCCCGTCCGCCTCACCGCGTCCCAGTGATCATATTCGTAGCGGCGGCGGCGCAGCTCAGGCTCCAGCTCGCGGCTCAGCGTCTCCTCCTCGTCCTTGCTCAAGAAGCCGGGCTGCACGACGGCCGAGTCCTGCAGGCGTCTCAGCACCGCCGGGCCCGAGCCCCGCACCCAGCCCGACCCCGGCAGCGTCCGCAGCGCCAACCTCCCACTCCCGGCCATGGTCCTGGAGCCGGGTCACGGAGGAAGCCGGAGTTCAGGGCAACGCCCCCGCCCTAGAGCCATTGGCTGAGTCCTCTCCAGTCTCCCACAGCGATTGGCTTTCCCCACGGCCCCGCCTCTTGCTCAAGGCTATTGGTTGCCGCTGCCTCGCCCTGTCTAGCTATTGGCTCCCCTGAGCGCGCCTCCTCTCCCCGCTGTCGGCCCGGCGACCTCGGTAGCTCGGTTGTATTGGCTGTACCGGGAGTCCGTCTGCCTCCGCTTCTCGGCCCCGCCTCTTTTATTGGCAATGGGAAAAGGTCCAACTGAGCTGGCCAGGATCTCGTAGGAAGGTCCAGAGAGGTTCTGGCCTGGCTTTCAAGGTAGGAGGGTTGAGCCAAGGTCAAGGTTTTGGAGATAGGCAGGCACAGAGGTTAAGTGCAGAGTACGGTCGGGGTGAGAGGAAGGGTCAAGAGTATAGGAATCTAGCAGGCTCCGTGACGCACGCCTGTAATCCCATCAGCCCCGGAGGCTGAGGCAGGAGGATCGCGAGTTCAAAGCCAGCCTCAGCAACATCAAGGTACCAAGCAACTGAGTGAGACGCTGTCTCTAAATAAAATACAAAATAGGGCTGGGGATGTGCCTCAGTGGTCGAGTGCCCTGAGTTCAATCCCCAGCAACCCCCACCCCCCCAAAAAAAAAGTATTTATGGGATGGGGCCAAGTTTGCAGTTAGGGAGTTGTGAAAGGTCAAAGCCAGATGTCATTCATTTCCCCATGAGAAGTACTGATTTTTGTTTAGGTTTGAATGTAGCAGTGTAGTTGTTTTTCAAAGATTCCTTAGATTATCACGACCCTCCAGGTTTTAAAAAACAACCCTGTTTCTCCCTCCAGCTACATACCCTGGACTCTGTTCCCTTTACACTAAAATCCCTGAAAGACACGTATTGCTGTTTTCCTCTCATTTTTCCTGGATCCATTGTAGCCTGGCTTTTGGTCCCCACATATCTAAAGTGCTCTGATTTATGGCCACCAGCAACATCCACAGTGCCAAATCCACAGTCAGCTCTCATCGGACACCTACTTCATCTGTACACTGATGGCTTCTACATCATTTCAACCCTGACCCTGGGATGCAGAGAGGCAAATCAGATACCAACCATAACACATTTCCTGCTGCTCACCCTCAGCTTCCCACTCAGTTAACGGATCTCCCCTTTTGGAACTGCTTTGGGCCAGTAACTTGGTTTGCAGACTACTCTCACTTCTCTCTGGTGAGCTCTGCCTTTAAATCCTATCTAGAGTCTGACTACGTCCTGCCACCCCATTGGAGCCACCATTAATCTCCATCTAGATTATACCAAATCCTAATTGGGTTCCAGAGTTTTGTTTTGTTTTTCCATAGCACTGAGGATTGTATCCAGAGCTTCATGCATAGCCTACTGCTCAGCCACACCGCCGCCCAAGTTTCTGTTGTTGCTAAGCTCTACCTACGGCTCCTGGGGGTCAGCCTTCCTTTTCATCCCTCTTCTCAAACCTTCCATCACTCCCCATCCTTTTTTTTTGGGGGGGGGTAGTGTTGGGGATAAAACCCAGAGCATCACGCATGCTAGACAAGTTCTCAGCCACTGAGCTACATCCCCAGCTCTTTTTATCTTTTGAGATGGTCTTTCTAAATGGCAGAGGCTGGGCTTCAATTTGTGACCCTCCTGTCTCAGACTCCCAAATTGCTAGGATTAAAGGCCTGCAGCACCATGCTTGGCTTATCTCCACTTCTTTATTTGGTGGGGAAGGTACTGGGGATTAAACTTGGGCCCTTGACCACTGAGCCACATCCCCAGCCCTATTTTTTTTTTTTTTTTGCCTTTATACATGTACTTTTTTTTTGCATTACAATTCTTATTGCATTACAATTTGAACCCAGTGCCTCACACATACTAGGCAAGCGCTCTACCACTTGAGCCCCAGCCCAGCCCTAAACAGATTTTTTAAAAGTAGTTGATATATATTTTTTTTTCTTGGAGTTGTCAATAGACCTTTATTTATTTTATATATACCACAATTTTTGAGTTGCTTGGCACCTTGCTGTTGCTGAGGCTGGCTTTGAATTTGTGATCCTCCTGCCTCAGCCTCCCCAGCCGCTGAGATTACAGGCATGTGCCACCAAGCTGGCTCATTTAACATTCTTAACACCCCTGAGACAGTAACTGCTTTTTCTTCTGATTGTAATAAGGAAACAGACGATCAGGACTAAAGCAACTCACCCCAGGTCAAATATCTAGAAAGTGACAGAAGGAGGCTAGCCACGTCGCCTCTCAGCCTGCTTCCTCGCCTGTGAAATGGGAACAGTGCTTGTTGCTCCTTCCCAGGTTCCTTGTGAACATACAGTGGCCAGCTACAGTGTTTCTCCAGCAAGAGAACTTGGCAACACAGGGCAGCGCATGCAGCTGCAGGCAGGCAGTGACTCCTTCGGAACTCTCCCTCATTGCAGGGGTGCCTCAGAGCTGGTGACTGATGCTGCATTTTTTTTGAGGGGCGGTTGAAGTCAGGGATTGAACTCAGGGGCACTTGATCACTGAGCCACATCCCCAGCCCTATTTTGTATCTTAGAGACAGGGTCTCACTGAGTTGCTTAGGGCCTCGGTATTGCTGAGGCTGGCTTTGAACTCATGATCCTCCTGCCTCAGCCTCCTGAGCCACTGGGATTACAGGCGTCACCACCGCGCCTGGCTTGTCTGACGCTTCTGGACACACAGCCTCTCTGTTGGACAAAAAGCCCCTCAGCTCCTGGGGACCAGCTAGACTGTGCCACAGGAGGTGCCTCCTTTGGCCTCACCCTTTACACAGGCGGTCCTTCCCAGCAGATGGCGTCTCCTTTCCCTTTGTTAAATAAAAGTATTAAGCCTCATAATTGTGGTGTTGGTTACACAAATCTGTACGCGTGATGAAATCGCATCAACACCCTCAGCCAGGCTTGTAGAGCTGTTGAAATCTGAATGCAGGCTCCAGATCATATCAGTGCCAACGTCCTGGTTTTGAAATGATATTGTTCTGTCACATGTCACCACTGGAGAAGCCGCACACAGGGTACTGGGACTGCTCTGCTCTACTTTTTTTCTTTTTGGTGCTGGGGATTGAACCCAGGCCCCACCTTGCACTAAGCATGTGCTCTACCACCGAGTGGCACCCCAGCTCCTGCACTATCATTACACCTTCCTGCAAGACTGTCATTATTCCAAAATAAAAAGATTTTTTTTGGAGTTGTCAATAGACCTTTATTTTATTTATTTTTATATGTGGTGCTGAGGATCGAACCCAGTGCCTCACACATGCTAGGCAAACGCTCTACCACTGAGTCCCAGCCCAGCCCTAAACAGATTTTTTTTAAAAGTAGTTGATTTGGGGCTGGGGGCGTGGCTGGGTGGTAGAGCGCTATGCCTATCATGCTTGAGGCCCTGGGTTCAGAAAAAAAGGTTGATTTATATTCCCTTCCTTCTTTCTGTACTGGGATTGAACTCGGCAACACTACCACTGAGCCATATCCCCAGCCCCACTTTTTTAATATTTATTTTTTAGATCTAGATGGACACAGTATCTTCATTTTTTATGTGGTGCTGAGATCAAACCTAGGGCCTCACGCATACTAGGCAAGTGCTCTACCTCTGAGCCCCAGCCCCCAGCCCCTTTTATTTTATCTTGAGGCAGGGTCTTGCTGAGTTGTTGGGCTGACCTGGAACTTACCATCCTCCTGCCTCCTGAGTCTCCGGATGACAAGCGTGGATGTGTGTTTAGTCAACGTGGGAATGGAGAAACGAAATGTCACCTCTTTGCACAATGGAACATCACTCAGCCTTTACAATTAGGACAAAAATCCTGGCACCTGTCCCAACAGAAGAACCTTGAGAACATTATGCTATAATGCTGTGTTTTCCTGTTTGGAAATCTGAACGATTCGAATGAAAATAACGGTACCCGCAACCGGTCATGTGAACAGGGACCACACACAAGCAGAGGACTCGAGAATGTCACCATCTGAGCAGCCCTGGCAACTGCAAGCATGTCCTTGTCCAGAAAGGAGGACTCAGGACAGGAAGGACCAAGGCTGTCTCTAGCCCAGTGTGGGGCCCGCGCCAGTCCTCCCAGCTGCTCAGGAGGCTGAGGCAGGAGGACCGTGTGAACCCAGGCGTTTGAGGCCAGCCTGGACAACCTGGCAAGGCCGCTCAAGAGGGAAAAAATGTGCCATCTAAGATCTCCAGTGAGTCCAGAAGATTTGATCCGATTGCAGCCACATGAGGGTTGGGTCAGGACAGGTGACCTCAAACTTTCAAGAAATCCCTCACATTGGCTTCTCATGTGGGCTAACTCCGTGGCTGATCTGGAAAAGTTTTGCCTGATAAAACACAGGACACCCAGTTGGATTTGAATTTCAGTTAAGTTCAATGATGAGTGACTTTATTTTAAAAGGATGTTTTTAAATTACTGTTTAATTTTTTATGTGGTGCTGATTGAACCTAGTGCCTCACACATCTGAGACAAGCACTCTACCACTGAGCCACATCCCAACCCTATTCTGTATTTTATTTATAGACAGGGTCTCACTGAAATGCTTAGCACCTCACTGTTGCTGAGGCTGGCTTTCAACTCACTATCCCGCCTCAGCCTCCTGAGCTGATGGGATTACAGGCGTGCACCACTGCACCTGAGATACCTCCATGTCTTGTCTCATCTCTTCACTCCCCTTCAGCCACTGGCATCCTTGAGGTTCCTCCCCCATGCCAGGCACAGAATTACCACAGGGCCTTTGCACTGGCTGTGCTGTCTGCCTGGACTTCTTTCCCAGCATATCAATAGGAATGCTTCCCTTGATTCCTTCAGGTCTTGGCTCAAATGTCACCTTCTTGGCAAGGCCCTCTGGGACCATCCCATGTAGAAATGTTACTCTCACACAAATCTACACACCTCCTTCTCTCCTTTTAATTGTCTATCTTTCTTCCAAGAATGTAAGTTCATTGATGCTGGCTTTTTGAGTTTTCTTCGCAGCCTGGAACGTAGGTTGTGCTCAGGAGTTTGCTGAAGAAAGGGCTGGTCAGAGACTGGGGTCAGGGAAATGGAAGAAGAGGCCTGGTGACGTGCACACGCAAGCCCAACATCATGTGGCAGTGAGCAAAGGTGCCTCAGACACAGAACAAAGTACAGAAAGATTTAATTTAAAATCACAGTGTCGCAGCCAGACTGCCCTGCCTGTCAAGGCTCCCCCAAATCCAAAGTTCCTCAAGGGGCTCCTCCAGGCTCAGCAGTCAGAGGTGAGCAGGGTGCAGCCTTAGGGTCTGGCTGGCCCAGGCCCTTGGTGCTGCCCTGGAGGGGAGCCCTGGCTTTCAGGTGCTTGCTGGGGCGGGAGGGTCTGTCGGCGTCGCCACAGGCTCTTTCTGCACCAGCTCCGGCTCATCCTCACCATCCTGAGGGGGGTGGACCAGTACCTTGTCTAGGATGCCAAACTCCTGGGCCTCCATGGGGCTCATGTAGCGGTCCCTCTCCATGGCAGATTCTGGCCAGGAACAGGATGCAGGACACAGTTAGTAAGAATAGAGACCTGGGCCAGGTTTGGGCCTCCCCAAATTCATGTCAAAGTCTCAACCTCCAGGGGACTCGGTCTGAAGTCGGGGTCTGGGGAGGTGAGAGAGTTAGTGACTCCAGAGGGAGGGGCTCCCAGGAGGGGAGGGGAGCAGTGCCTTTATAGAAGAGGAAGATGCTCCCAGAGGGCAGAGGAAAGACCAGTGAGAACACAGGGAGAAGGCGGCCTCTGCGACCCAAGAGAACCCTGCCCAGGAATCAACCATGCTGGACCTTGACCTTGGACTTTCAACCTCCAGAACCCTGAGAAATAAGTCTCTGTTGTTGAAGCTACCCAGCCCATGGCATTTGGTTATGGCCGCCTGGGCTAACTAAGACAGGGCCTCGTTCGCCAGTTCCCTGGGTGACCTTGGTAAATACTTATTTCAAATCTTTTTTTTTACCTTTTTATTGATGATGCATAATATACTTCCAAGAAGGGGCACCTACTGTCAACGAGCAGTGTGATGAATTTCAGACTGAATGTACTCACCTGACTAGCACCCAGACGAAAAAGAGAAGCCCTGCCAGCACCCCAAAACCCTGCGGGGTCCACCTCCGTCACCCATCCTCATCACCCCCGTCCCACACCCAAAGCAGCCCGTCCTAACAGCTCGGCGCAGCTGGGCCTGTGCGTGCTGGGCACACAAGACGGCCCAGTCGCCCACACTGTCTGCTCACTGCTGTGTGGCACTCAACTGCTGAACAGGCGCCACAGTGCACCCGTCAGCGGCTGATGGCCAGTGCGGGGCTTACACAGGATCACCACCAGCGTCCCTGTGCCACCACTGTTCACAGCCACACACTGAGTGGGACAGGGTCCTTTCACGTGTTCAGCTTTAGCTCCTGGTCTGCACAGCTCTGCAAAGGGGCAGACGTCTCCACCCCGACTCGGGGTGACCTCCCCCGCGCTCCACATCCTCTCAGTGTTTGGGTCGTGTTTTCTGTCTTAGCCATTCTAGCACCGACACGGCATCGCGCCGGGATTTTAGCCTCTCTACTACGTTGTTGTTATTTGCAGGGCGGGGGGATGGAGCCCAGGGCCTCCAACGTGCTAGACAAATGCTCTGCACCTGAGTCACACCCAGCCCTTAGAGACATTCTTGGTTGTCATAAGGGAGGGAGACGATGGGCAAGAATGGGTGGAGGCTGGGGATGCTGCTCCGCACCCCACAGTGCCCAGGATGAAGGCCCACAAGGCCGAGGTGGGAGAGCCCTGGCTTAGCACAAGGCCCACCACACTGGTGTGTGACATAGGGAGTGGCCAGCCCGCCCTGGGCGCTCACCGATCACTTGCAGGCTCTGCTTGGTGTGCTTGGCATAGATGTTGTACAGCTGTTTCTTGAGCTTCATAATCTCCTCTGCCTGTATGGCAATGTCTGTGGCTTGGCCCTGAGGGATGGCCCAAGGGGAGTGAGAGGGTGGAGGCCAGAATTAGAGTCCACCCCTCCTGGGGAGACTGGAGGCAGGGAGAACACCTGCCCTTGGGTTTCCAGTTTCCAGGCAAGCCCCCCCCAGCACCCCACTGCATCCTGACACCACCAGCAAGGCCTCCCGCTGGTACTGGCTCTTTTTCTTTATTGTTGTTCTTTTAATATTTATTATTTTAGTTTTAGGTGGCCATAATATTTTTATTTTACATTTATGTGGTGCTGAGGATCGAACCCAGTGCCTCGTGCATGCTAGGTGAGACTACCACTGAGTCACTAGGAGACTCGACCACTGAGCCACAGTCCCAGCCCTATTTGTATTATTTATTGTTTGCATTTTTGCCACGCTGGGATGGAATCCAGGGCCTGGTGCAGGGTAAGCACACACACACTACCTCAGAGCGACACTTCCGGCTTAATCTTCTCACCTTTTTTTCTTTTTCTGCTCTTAACTATATTTTCTTATTTTCTGCATCCGGGGCCTTGGAAACAGGTAGGAACAGCCTCCCCCGGGGTGAGATGGCAAACAGCTCACCTTTGAGTGCAGCTTCAGACGGAAACCTACCAATCCAGGGCCCACAGCCCAACAGTCCCCCTTGCTGGGCTTTCACTCTCCCAGCCACTGTCACCCTTTCCTAATCACCCCAGGGCCAGGTACCAAACCCCCAGGGATGGCCCCCATGCCAGAGCCCGCTGAGCTGATTCCAGCTAGCCAGCGCTGAGCCTGCTTACCCTGCCTGGCCTGTTCCTTCCCACAGACACCACCATGGCCTCCCACACACCCTGGTGCCTCCTGCATGGCATGTGTGCTGTGCCCTCTTCTCCTGGAGTAACAAGCTACCTGTTCAGTGACAGCTGTCTCCTGATCTGTTGGCCTCACCATACCTGAATCATGATGAGATTAAAACACTGCTGTGCGCCCAGGCAGCTCAGGGTGGAGCTCTAGCACAGCATGCGCAGGGCCCGGGGTTCAGGCCCCAGCACCATCAAAACATGAAAAATAAATAACACCCACACACCCGATTTCTGCCCAGTCACTCCTGTCTAAACCTCCATCTGCATCCCAAGGGTGGCTCGTAGGGGCTGGCACTCACCCGGGCGCCCCCTGAGGGCTGGTGGATCATAATGCGGGAGTTGGGGAGTGAGTGGCGCATGCCGGGGCTACCGGCGGCAAGCAGCAGGGAGCCCATGCTGGCGGCCTGACCCACGCACCACGTGCAGATGGGGTTCAGAATGTACTGCATCGTGTCATAGATGGCCAGGCCCGCGGTCACCACACCACCTGCAGACAGGGGACAAGTGAGGGGCTGTATCACCTCCCCTTCTCTCAATCACCCCTAGCACTGCAGAGGGCTAAGAGGCAGCCCTTTAAAGCAAGGGCACAAATGAAAATGTCCCCAAGGGTGGGGAGGTGACAAAAAAAGGTGAAGCAGACCTGAAGAAAGGAGAGTCAGTGTCTGCTGTTACATGCACAAGTGAGACTCAAGGGGGCAGATCTACCAAAGTTTTAAGAGAAACTAGAAAATGGAAGAGAGCAGTGGTTAAGAGAAAGGCCCACTTCCCTGGCTGGACAGTTCATCTCTCTGTCTTCAGTAAGTTACTCAGTCTCTTCTAGATAGAGAGTACTAAATAGTAGCTGCCATGTAAGGCTGTGGTGAGGAGAGGAATGATCTCCACAGCTTCAGTATGTGTCAAGTACTTCACAAAAGACTGGCATAGTAAGTGCTCAATCCAAATGGCTATTCTTTTTTTTGTTGGGAAGAGACAAAATCTACAAATTCTAAACTGTGGACCAGATCAAGTTGATAAAACTGTGTGGAATTAAAAAGGCCACAACCTAGGGGCTACCGTCAGTGGCTGGCTGGTGATCCTAAACTTAAAAGCAAGCAACAGGCAACTTTTGGCGGTGTGGAGGCATGTTTGGGATTCCAAAGAAAGCTCTGTACCTTTTCCCCACAGAAAGGACATCCTGGTAGGGGCTGGGGATATAGTCTAGTTGGTAGAGTGCTTGCCTTGCATGCACAAGGCCCTGGGTTCAATCCCCAGTACCAAAAAAAAAAAAAAAGAAAGGACATCCTGGGCCACAGATGTTGTCCCAAGTCACCGAATGTCTCCAGAGGAGTGACCCCAGCATCCAGGGCAAGCCCTGCTCACCAGGGCTATTGATGTACATGTGGATGGGCTTCTTGTTGCTCTCAGATTGCAGGAAGAGCAGCTGAGCGATTACCAGGCTGGCCACACTGTCATCAATCTGCAGGTGGAGACAGCAGGGGTGTCCCCAGATTGGGGTGGGAGAGAATTTTAAGGGAGAGAGTTGGCGGGGACACTGGGGTATGGGTCAGAGAACCAGGGAGAAGGGGAAGGGTCAAAGCCCAAATAAGAGGGCTCAAGAAGGGGATGGGAGTGGTAGGACCCCAGGGAGTTTGGAAGAAGGGAGGGGATTGTCAGGGAAGAGGTCAGCATGGTTGGGGACAGGGACTAGAGCCTGGGAATGAAGAGTGGACTCAAAGCTGTCAAGGAGGTCTTCGGAGAGCCCGGAGGGGAGGAGCTGAGGGCTGCAGGAATGGGCGGGAGCAGGCGGGGCTGAGGACCGGAGGGGCTCCCGGGGAGGCGGGGAAGGGACGGGGCGGAGCCGCGGAAGAAAGGCCGGGCCGAGGTGGGGGCTGCGAGGGAGGGCGCTCACCGGGCCCATGACGCACACGATGCGCTCCCGCAGGAGCCGCGAGTAGATGTCGTAGGCGCGCTCGCCGCGACCCTGGGAGAGAAGGACGGGGTGAGGGGTCAGGCGGTCGGCGACCCCACCCCCGGCCCCGGGGCCGTGTCCCCGCCGGGCCGCGGTACCGTCTGCTCCACCACGATGGGGATGAGCGGGACAGCCCGGGCCGCCGTCGCGTGCAAGCTCCGCCGCAGGGCCAGGCCGCTCCCGGGGGTCCGCTGCGCGGGGAAGCGAGCGGCGAGGCGAGGCCCCAGCGCCCGGCACTTGCCTGCCGCCACCCAGGCCTCCCCTGCCAGCATTCGGGGCCACATGCCGCCGCAGTCCTCCTCGGCTTCCGTTCTCCGGCGGAACTACGACTCCCGGCGTGCTCTACGCCCGCGGCGCATGCTCACCAGGCCCCCACTTCCGGGAGGCTGGCGGACGTCGTGGGGCGGGGCCTAAGGGGAGGAGCCGGCGGAGGGAATGGAAGTTCTCCAGCTGCTGTGTCCCGACCAGTTCGTCAGTTTTGTGCTCTTATGTTTAAAAAATCAGCTCCAGCGTGCTCACAGCTCATCTTGGAAGTGGCGTAGAGAGGACTCGGCCTGGGCTGGGGCCTGGGAGAACTTCCAGCCTGGTAGGGTCAACTTCCCCTGAGATAACCCCATCTATTTTTTAAAAAATATTTTTTAGTTGTAGATGGACACAATATCTTAATTGTATTTATATTTTTGTGCTGAGGATCGAACCCAGTGCCACACACATTCGAGGCAAATACTCTACCACTGAGCTACAACCCCAGCCCCTCCCCATCCATTTTTGGTAACCTGTGAGATAGAGGGAGGAACCCCACGTGGTGGGAGTCATCTGCGCATGTTGTGGACTCTGCCTGGAGAACCACCTGCAAAGCTTCGTACGAAGTGTAGGTGTTGGGCTTCAAGATCCAAGGTGGCACGTTTCCAGCCCCAGAGAAGGATGGAGGGTGCACGCCAGCCAGCTGTAGTGTTGGGCTTCAAAGCAAGAGTAGGAGTTCATTCGCTGGGAAGTTATTCGTATCGGAAGAGAATGGGCAAAGGGAAGAAGTAGGCAGTGCTTGGTGAGGTTTTGGGCCCTTGTTTTCTCCAGATTTTTTCAAGGTGGATTCTTTTTCATCTTTTAATTCTAATGTCACCTTCTGAGAATTGTCCCGTACTTCGCATGCAGAGCCTAGAAAAATGCCTGATTAAATCACAATTCACACTGAGCCAAGAGACAACGATGTGATAGGGAGGAAGTTTGAGAGCAGAGGGCTTTCCCCGTTGTGGCATCAAATGCCTGTCATCTCAGCAAATCAGGAGGCTGAGGCAAGAGGATGGCAAGTTAGATGGCAGCCTCAGCAACTTAGCAAGACCCTATCTCAAAAAATAAACAGGGCTGGAGATGGGGTTCAGTGGTAAAGCACTCCTGGGTTTAGTCCCCATTACCAAAAATAATTAAATCAATCGTTCTCAGCTCAAATGTCAACTTCTTGGAGAAGTCTCCCTGGACCACATTTGTCTTGTTGACATCTTCTGTGTGGCACCACTGTCCAGGACAATTCCATTAATTTGTTTGTTTTCTCCTTTGTTGACTGTAAAACTGAGCTGACTGGAGCCAAAGGTTCTGCTGTCTTATTCATCTCTATGATTCTTGGGAAGTATTAATCAGACCTTTTTGATTAGGAATCAGAATAAAATGCATCTTTAAAAAAAATTTTTTTTTTGTAATGCTGGGACAGAACCCAGCGCCTTGCATGCACTATCCAAATGCTCTACTGCTGAGCTGTGCCCCCAGCCCACAGAACCACTGACTTAAATCAAAGTGGGTAGTGAACTGAAATCTTTAAAAAGGAGAAGAAGGAACTTTAGAATAGTGCTTGGCACATTGTATTTACTCCAGAAATACTTAAAAAAGCATTTTGAGCCTGGTGTGATGGTACATGCCTGTAATCCCAATGATGCAGAAAACTAAGGCAAGGAGGATCGCAAGTTCGAGGCCAGACTCAGTAACTTAGTAGACCCTGTCTTAAAAAGGGCTGGGGATGTAGCTCAGTGGTAAAGTGCCCCTGGGTCCCATCTCCACTACTGAAAAAATAAATAAAGTGTGTTTTGTTGCTTTAAACTTAGTTGGGCTCAGTAAACTCTGAACAAATGAATATTTTGGCTTTCTGCTGCAAATCAGCCTGTCCCACCATTAAAATTTTTTTTTTTTTAGTTGTCAATGGACCTTTATTTTATTTATTCATACGTGGTTCTGAGAATCACAATTTCCTAGCAGTGCCTCACACATGCTAGGCAAGTGCTCTACCACTGAGCCACCACCCCAGCCCCTGTCCCACCAGTTTTAAGATATCACTCACAATGGGAGAGGAGCTCTGATTGCTGTTACCTTTGGGGGAGATGAATGCAAACAGGCCTGCTGCACTGATAGAATCGAAAATTAAAGAAGAAAAGGAAATAGTGCCAGAGAGGCAGTAAACAGATACTCTGATGCATGAACAGTGCTACAGCTTTTCTGGGAATTATGTTGACCCCAGATTTGAAAGTTGCATAGTTAGCAAAGAATTGGAAATAAACCAGTAAGGGAGGACTCATAAAATAATTTACATTTAAAACTTTTAAAAAATCCAGTATCGATATTGGGGAATATAACTCATTGATTAAGCGACTGCTGCGGTCTCTACTAGTTGAGCATCCTGTGAGGGCGGAAGCCCGGGTGACTACCTAAGAAGGAAAGTCTTTCTCTTCAAGTAACATGGGGGGTTGGCATCCAGGGGAGGTGAGGCGGCTTTGTCACACAGACTCCAGGGACCTTCTCTCAGCTCTCACCTCAGTCACCCAGAGAAGGATGGAGGGGGCATGCCAGCCAGCTGTCCCAGAGGGAAGCTGCCACCCCCTCCTCTTATATGCCATTGGCCAGAAACTAGCCACAGGACCTTGCTGCACAGGTATTGGACAGTGCATTTATTCACTCAGCTGCTACTTGCTGAAGCCTCCGTGCCCTGGAGTAGAGCAGGAATACAGCTCGGACAGCCCTGCCTTTCTGGAACTTACCTTGCATGACCTAGTCCTCTTCTGAAGACTTGCAGCCCAGCTGAGGGAACAGTGGTCCCCCAGAGCCTCGAGTTTGCAGCTTTATGTTCACCTTCAGCTGTAGAGATGCCCCATCCTCCCCCCAGGAAGCCGCCCTCAGGGACTCAGCCAAGAGGAGGAACCAAGGTCTGGACATCCTGACTTGACAGGGGTCGCTGATGGGCCATGGGAGACTGGCAGTGGGCTAAGGCCTCTCCCCTGGCCAGCACTTTTATTTATTTATTTTTGGGTATTGAAATGCTTTTTCATTTTATTTATTTACATATTTTTTTTAGTGTTTTTTCCTAATTAGTTATGCATGATAGCAGAATGCATTTTGATTCATGGTATATAACTGGAGCGCGACTTTTCATTTCTCTGGTTGTACACGATGGAGAGTCGCACCACATGGACCTATTGTCACTTTCTTCCACAGCTGTTAATCCCCGACAGGCATCTGTCATCCCAGGCTCCCCTCAGTGCATTTGGCCCTGAAGGTTCTGCACCCTCAGGATCAACTCAGATCGGTGTGTTTTCTTTTAAATTGCGTCTGTACTGAGCATGTACACTCTTTGTCACTATTCGCTTCACAACACAGTGTAACAGCCCTTATGTGGCACTCACATTGTCTTAGCCTAGAGGTGATTTAAAGTCCCCAAGAGGACTTTAGCACGACACCATTTTATAGAAGGGAATTGAGCACCTGAGGATTTTGGCACCTGCAGGGGATCCTGGAACTGGTCCCCCATAGATGCCCAGGAAAAACTGAATCTTGCAGAGAACCCAACTGTGACAAGAGTTTCGTTACCTTTTCTTAAAACGTGTGAGCCACTCCATGACAGGAAGACCCATCAATTACTTAGGCTCAGCCTTGATCCTCCTCTCCCTCACCTCCGCCTTCCTGTCCATAGCTGTAGGGTGGCGCGTTGGTGACCTGCCTCAGGCCTTCTGCCTTCTTGTCTCCATCAGCCCCGTTCCTCTTCCCCCACAGTCCCTGCCAGCTCTGTCTTCCACCTACGTGTCTCTGCGGCTCCAGACTGTCCTCATATCTTCCCTTAAAGGCCTAGAATTAACCCTCAAATCAATGCATCTGAGACTGCTCTTATCTCCGGGCCCCACTCATCCTCCTCCAGATGCCCCTGCCCGGCGGAAAGCGTGGAGTCGCCCTGGGTTTGTCTCTTCTCGGCTCCGCGGGTCCATTCCACTGGCAGTTCCGGCTCAGCCTTCCATGCTTACCTGGAACCCAGCGCCTTCTCTCCCCACTCCACTGGCTGCTTCCCTGACCCAAGCTGTCACCACCGGGCCACTGTGTCACCTCCTCCCTTTTGTCACAGCATCTACTCCTGCCTCCAAAAGCTATTCTCTCTGTAGCAGCTGGAAGGGGGATCCTTTTAAAACTTGGATGAGCTCATGTCATCCTTCTGAGAACCCTCTGTGGCTCCATGCCACCCAGCATCCTAATGAGAATCCACCATGTTCTACTCCATCGACGGCCTCTCCCGTCTGCCGCAGCCACTGATGGCACCTCCCTGCACCCTCTCCCTCACTCACCCACTGCTGCCCCGCTGGCCTCCTCCCTGTCCTCCAGCTCACCGTCCTGCGCCTGCCTCAGAACTCTTGTCCTGTTTCCACTGCCTGGAATGCTCTTTCTCTGTAATCTCCATGGCTCCCTCTTCCCCTCCTGCAAGACTGTCCTTCTGACACCCCAATTTAAAATCGCAACCCCTGCTGGGTTCAGTGGTGCAAGGCCTCTAGTCCCAGCTACTTGGGAGGCTGAGGCAAGAAGATCACTTGAGCCCATGAGCTCAAGGTCAGCCTGGGCAGCACAGAGACCGTGTCTCTAACAAAATAAATAAATAATAATAAAAATAAAATAAAATTGCAACCCCCAGTGCAAGTTATTCCTTTTTCCTACCTTATTTTCTTTAGCGAAATTATGAGCATACTATTTTCCTACTCAAAATATACTTTATAGACCAGTCACTGAGATCTAATGCCCCTGAGATCTCGATAGAGATACAGACACTTGAAGCTGGGAGCAGCGGTACCTTCCCATAATCTTAGTGACTCTGGAGGCTGAGGCAGGAGGATCTCAAATTAAGGTCAGCCTCAGTCATTTAGCAAGACCTTCAACAACTTAGGAAAACCTGTCTTTAACAAAAAAGGCTGGAGATGTAGCTCAGTGGTAGAATACTCTTAGGTTCAATTCTCAGTACCCCCACCAAAAAACCCACAAAACCCCAAAAACCAGAAATATGGACT